GGAAGAGGAGGGGAAAAAGAGGGAAGAAAGGAGGAGGAAGAAGAAGAGGGAGGATTTATTCTAGTAAAACCCAGAGCTGTTCCTCACCTGACGTATTAGATGATGATTACACACCTGTCCGGGGTCTCTACCTGCGCCCATCTCGTTGTGAAAGACCCCAAGAGACTGATAACCATGATGTTAAGTGGATTACCTTTTATGACTTACACCATTAAAATATATAACTCTTATCGTGTGTCTGTCTGTCTCTTGTCAATCTTAAGTTCACCGTGGAATATATATATATGTCTGTCTGTGGCTGTCTGTCTGTCTGTCTATGTATGGCTGTAGTTTGTTTATGTTTGGGTTATGAACGATTGAAGAGTCGAGTTACAGACAAGGAGCGTTTACTTGTGACTTGTGATCTTGGTTTATAGAGAGAGAGAGAGAGAGAGAGAGAGAGAGAGAGATAGCTTAAGCCTTTAACGCCATGCATAATGTGAAGACTAGTACACTGTCTCAAGGCACCCCTGTCATTACCGTCTCGGCTGACGTTCTAATGGCCACCCGCTGCTGACGTCTCCATCCATGCTGACACCCCTTATTCAATATTCCCAGGCCAAAGCTTCGTGTTCATGGAGCTGCTGACGTCATGGAGCTGTTGACTTCTCTTTGGTGGCTGACAGATTCGATTTATTTCCCAGTTAGATGTAGTGTTGGTTTTCAAGTCTGACATTCTTGTTAAAAATGTCAACTGATAAGTTTTACTAGGTGTGGTAAGCTGACACTCTCATGTAAGTAACTCACGGCTGACGTACTGACACAAGTAACTCACGGCTGACGGACTGACACAAGTAACTCACGGCTGACACTTTCAAGTAAACTCCCATTAGAAGAAAAAAATAGAATGGTATTTTAACAAACCTCACTTTAAAAATCATAGTAAAATTAGCATTACAAAAAATATATCCAACACATTTAAGAAACTTTGAATAAAATTTCATACATTACAAAAATAAAAATCCCACTGAGAAAAATGGTTTCAATAAAATAACAAAGATAAAAAAAAAAAAAAAAGTCACTCTGAAAATAATTAACATTCCCTTAAATACACAGGCTGGGATGAGACTGATGCTGGGTGTTAGAGCGAAAGAGACGTGTACTTGTATGTTGTGTCGTGTCCTCGTCTTCGTCCCGGATGTGTGTGTGTGTGTGTTCCGGACACTCGGACACTCGTTAATGTCCTACACCTGATTTATGAAGTCCTTGAGAGAGAAATCTGGGGTTCTGGAGCTGAGAGAAGATGCGCTGGGAGAAAGTGAAGGTGAATAAGGAAGAGGGAAAGGAAGTGAAAGGAGTCATGAATGAGAAGGGAAGGTGGAAGAGGAAAGTGAAGACGATAATAGTCGTGGATGAGGAGGGAAAAGTGAGGGTGGGAAGAGAAGGGGGGAAAGGACAAGGAGAAGAGAACGAGCGAGAGACAAACACATACACAGACAGAGAGAGAAGTGTGGAAGAAAGGAGAAAAGGGAGAGGCAAGTAGAAGGAAGAGAAGATGAACTAGGAGGACAAAATGAAGCTATGAATTGAAGTTAATGGATAAGACAAGAGAAGCCGAGGTTAAGACAAGTCATAGGGATACAATCGATGACTCACATTCAAGGTGGTTAGGTGAAGGATATAGGAAGGATGGGAAAGGAAAGGAGGTGGCAGGTGGGAGACGGAAAAGAGGGTATAGGGAAGGCGAGGTAAGCTGTGGGGTGGTGGCAAAGAGTGAGGGAGGAAGGACGGTGAGAGGGATAGTGAGAGGGGCGGTGAGAGGGGATAGTGAGAGGTGCGGTGAGAGGGATAGTGAGAGGTGCGGTGAGAGGGGCGGTGAGAGGGTACGAGTGTAATAATGTCATGTGAATTCCATAGTTTTTACCGACATGTTTTGTGTGGTTAAATTCAGTCTCTTCACAAAGGCTCTTCATGGAATTGGTATCACTTAACCTCACAAATAACCAGTTAATATTAAAGTGTAGGCAGTGAGGAGGGCGAGGATTGAGGACCTCGTCTTGCTAACAAAAACTATGAGACCACATGCTTTCATCTTCAGAATAAATTCATCCAGTATTAGTTTAGTCTGAACCGAGTATCAGGTATAAGGTTCATTCGTGTATAAGTGAAGCAGTGACCAGTCGGGGGGCTTGGGGGGGGGAGGGGAGAGGAAGAGGGGGACTTTATTTCTACAACCTTACGGTGTTATAGGTTATACCATCCTCACCTGGCCGGAGAGTATAGTAATTTACCTGTTCTTAGTGAAGTTGTTAGCTCGTTGTGAATCATTAAAATCCAGTATTAAGATATAACACTATGTCTGGAGGTAAGGGAGTGATTTGTGACACACTACATCATCGATCTAACAACATATTAATATACTGTGCCTGTGTGTGATGAAATTGGAACGAGGTGATTGACTTGGTAATGATTTTCATCTCGTTCTATACACTTAGGGTCGAGTGGTAGTTAGCTTGGGCTTATAGCTGTTGGCAAGTTGAGTTAGTATTAATCAATCTTTGAAGATAAACATGATTAGTTGTACACCTTAATTTTTATCCAGGTATCAAATCTATCGTCTGTTGATCCGAGTCATAAATTGCTCTCTGAATTATCCACGATGTTTATATTAAACCTTGGACAGTGCTAAGTCCTGATCTTTGTGATGGTGTGAGAGGATTTTTTTTACGTGGTATTACACCTTCAGTATAAGTGTTACCTGGTACGTGACCTTGTCCTTCAACACACCAGCATCATGTGACAGATACGAAGGTGTGATTAACATCTTTTGTAACCTAGGAAAAATAATCTTAAGTGGTAATTAAGGTGAAAATGAGACCTTGATGATAAAATGGTAATTAGTAATGTATTAGATTATAGTGTAATTACAAGAAGAAGAAGAAGGAGAGGAGGAAGCAGAAGAAGAAACAGGAGGAGGAGGAGATGGAATTCACAAGTTTCAGAGAATACAATCATTGCACAAGGATTCACACACACACACACACACACACACACACACACACACACACACACACACACATAAATAATGAAGGTATACAATGGCTAACAATAAAAATCGAGTCAGCTTAAAAAAAAAAAAATCCGTAAATAAAACCAAAATTATTTCCCCTAAAGTCTCTATGAGTTTAAGTTAAATTGGTTAAAACAAGACAAACAAACAGTACACTAATTCTTACCTACAACACGTCATACAGGTGTTGTCTTACGTTTTATCATTATCAAGTATTAATTACGGAAAACTTTGCTCATTAACGTAATAATTAACAAGAATAAATTAACTCAATGTTACTCAATTCAGAACTTATGTGTCTGGGCTACTCTAAGTACGTCTATCTGGTATAATTATTTTTTAATGGCGTCTGTAAAATTATAAGACTTGGATAAGAGTTTTTTCCGTTTCCTGTAAGATTTGATAGAATGTTCTGCTGGAGGCTAATGAAGTGTGTGTGTGTGAGTGTGAGTGTGTGTGAGTGTGAGTGTGAGTGTGTGTGAGTGTGAGTGTGTGTGTGTGTGTGTGTGTGTGTGTGTGTGTGAGTGTGTGTGTGTGTGAGTGTGTGTGTGTGTGTGTGTGTGTGTGTGTGTTCTAGGTAGTTTATCTTACCATTGTGAAGGTCGCTGGGAATTTTTTTTCTATGAAACCTTGTGGTGTGTGGTGGTGAAGCCTTATGGTGTGTGGTGGTGAAGCCTCGTAGTGTGTGATGGTGAAGCCTTATGATGTGTGGTAGTGAAGTCTCTTAGTGTGTGGTGGTGAAGCCTCGTAGTGTGTGATGGTGAAGCCTTGCGATGTGTGGTAGTGAAGCCGCGTAGTGTGTGGTGGTGAAGCCTCGTAGTGTGTGGTGGTGAAGCCTCGTAGGTGGTGTGGTGGTGAAGCCAATTGACATAAATGTATTTCTGTCATTCATCTGTCATGACACCACATTTATGATACAGTCACAAGAGGAAGATTACTACAAGTGTACCTACAAGTGTGTACCAACAGGTGTGTACCTACAGGTATACTTACAAGTGTGTACCTACAAGTGCGTATCTACAAGTGTACCTTATATCTATTCCTTTAATTAATGTCATTGTATCAACTCAGACTAGACAATACAGGTACAGAATACAGGTACAAATATTTCCAAAAGACTACAGAGAGTTCAGGAGTAACATTAAGGAATATTACACAGTGGGAATCAACGTTCTCAGAAATCATAAGGAATTGGAATCGGCATCTTATGGTCACTGGGTCCACAACACGTATGAGACATGTTAATGACGAGTCGTATTGAAACACCTGCTACACCTATCCTCCAGTGGCTCGCCTCAGGATGTCTTGGTGGATGATTAGTCTTTGGGTTCTGGCTACTGTATGACTCGCCTGGATATTTGCAAACTACGTCCTGTCCTCTGTAAACAAATGGTGGGACGGGGTGATCCGTTAACTGAATCAGATATATATTATTAGTCGACGAGGAGAAGCTGTTGAAATTAATACTTTGTTGACTCGTAGTGGTAAATGTTTTCGGCCTCACCTCGACCTTCCATAACTGATAAAAGTGATCCGGGGAGAAGCGTACAGCCGCCCCCTCCGCCACTTTACGTCAGCTCAGTGTCTGGCAGCGATAAAACACTTCCCCGAGCGGCCGCCACCTTGCCTCACACTTCCTAAATCGCTTCGTACCATTTTGTCAGGGGTGGGAGTAGTGGGGTGCGTGTAGCGCCCCTCAGTATAAACAGTTACAGCATTATATGAACATAAAACATACAAAGGGATGTGGTGGAGGTCTGGCTGTGTTGGAGGCGTACGTGAGTGTGTGCGTGGGAAGCCTCGCCGCACCAGCCGTCACCACGCCCCGCCTCCTACACGTCAGAAGCTCGCCCATTGGTGGAGTAGATGATGCTGTGGGCGGGAGGAAGGCGGTGGGCGGGGCGGGTGTCGGGGCGACACATGGCAGGGTGGCGGCGTGTGGTGGTGGACTGGGAATACTGGAGTGCTCAGCCCGGGCCTCGTGCTGCTCGGCTCACGTTACGTGGTGTACTGTGGTGGTTGTGGCGCGCGCCGGCTGCTGCACGTGTTGTGTTGGGAGACACGCCGCGCTCCTTCTCTTGTCCGCTCGCTTCCTGTTTCACATGGGCGTCGGCTGAATGATGCCCTGCGACCCCCTAATGAAGCCAAAACTCGGCTTCTCCATAGAGTCCCTGGTGGGCGGCAAGGTAGGCTCAGAAGGTCGTGGGTCACCGCCGCTTGCCGACACCTGCAGCGACCGTGGTGTGTCGCCCCCGACCTCCATGCCTCCGTCGCCTCTCTCGCCAGGGCCGCCTGCCTTCAGCGACCTGAGGGCGCCCCTGGCCATGCGGGCGCTTTTCGACGACAATAAACCGCTGCCCATCCAGCGGCCTCAACCCATTAATGGTGCCACTCAAAGACCGTCTCAGGAGGTGAACCTACCGCCCTCCCTGCTGGCGGCGGCCAAACTTCCCACTGGGCTACATCCCGCCCTTCTGCCGCATCACTTGAACCTGGCACTGCCGCACCTACAGGGGCTTCACGGAGCCTTCCCACCACACCTTAACCCGCTCATGATGGGCGGCAGTGGTCCCGGTCTGGCCGCCCACCTGCCTCGGGAGTACCCGCTCTACCCATGGCTTCTGTCACGTCATGGACGAGTCTTCCCTCACGGCCTCCCGAGTGAGTATCCCAGCCTACCCTTGTACCCCTTCAGTCAGTACCCCAGTCTACCCTTCTACCTCCCAGCTCACCCTTACGTATCCTCATGCTGCCCGGTTCCAGTCGGCACCCCCAGCCTGTCCTGGTGTCTGTACAATGTGTCGTAAATCGTCCTTTCATCACCCTAGTGAGTAATCCCCCCTCCATCACCCTCCTGAGAGGGAAACCCGAGCACCAGATATTCCTCACCTTCACCTACTGAGGTATACTAAGGTTTCTCACTCCCTGGTCTCGGTACCTCCATATGTAATAATTCATCTGTGGTCAAAATAATAAATACCTCCCCACAGTCTCGCAATCATTTGACTCAAGGCGCTGCCACTGGTATCTGCAGCACCTCTACACCCTACAGCCTACACCCTGCTCACTACATCCTACACCTCTACACACTCCTAGCAGGAATATATTTCAGCGAGATGCTCTTGGTCCATCCCGACACTCACACCTTCCCACCCCTGCACCCTCCCTGGTGTGTGTCTATGCCCAAGCTATTGAATACCCTTCTTTCTCCCTCCTCTCCCCCCCCCCACCCTGCCTTGTGTCAACACTTATTATCGTCCTCCTCACCCTCAACCCTCCCTCCCCCCCCTCCAGGACCCTCTACCTCCCTCCCTTGTCTCTCCACGACGCCAGGAGGTAGGAGGTATGAGCCTTCTAAGGGATGGGTGAGGTAGAGGGAAGGGGAACAGACATGTATCGTCAACGGGAACACGAGGGAGAGGATAAGAAGCTTCTCCCAACACGAGGGACCGATGTTTATTATTACGGGGTAACTATTTCTGCCCTGTTATTATAACGAGGTCAGAAAAAAATAATATTATAATTGTCACAATTGGCAGATCGTTTGCTTCCTAGTTTGTGGTAGAACGTATAATCGTATTCTGTAAGTGTACAGGTGCAGCCGTGTCGTTGACCTGTAGCAGATGTTGAGTTACAAGGATCAAATTACATTGTTGTTATGGTGAACTCGTACAATTGTTCTCAAGGGATAAACCAAAGTTGTTGTTCTCACCGTGTGGCCAAAACATTAAAATATCAACACTCTACACTCTGTAAACCTCAGGAATGGACACAAACAGCTCCTGTTATTTTATTAAAACAACTAAAACACGATTTCGATCAAAAGTTCCTTATTTACAATACCAAGAGTGTTCCTACAGGTGTGTCTCGTATCCAAAATGACTACCTCAGGTGAGCTCTTCGGTAGACGATGATAACTATCAATAACCGCTTCCCTGTTCCTTCGATGGATCTAAGTCACCGTGAGTGAGGATGACAACAATTTTCCCTACGCTTCACAATTCATAATTACCGACATGAAAGTAATGATCTATTAGGAGACTTACCTGCGGGTAATTACACGTTCGTCAAAACCACGAGTTGTCACCTGGCGTGTCTGGGTAACCACTGGCAGGCAGGGAGGAGGGCGGGGTGCTGGCGAGGGATGGTTGGTTGTGGATGTTGCTCACTTACCTGGGTTAAGGCGCCACCTAGGATGTTGCTTAGATGACGACCCTATATGTCCTTGGTGCCTCTCAGACTGTACATGTCCTTGGTGCCTCTCAGCCTGTACATGTCCTTGGTACTCATGAACCTGTAGATGAATTAATGTTTGAGTAAATCTCTTAAATCTGTTGTAGTTACTCACAATAAATCAGTCACAAATCCTACCTACTAATCCTTTGGTGGCATTTTCATTCCTGCTGTTACTAGTAAAAGAAAATTTATCGATGATACAAAACTTAGAGAAATATTACGTTATCCTTGTATTAATTAGAGCAAATCGAAGGTGATAACTGAGAGTATAATATTAGTTAAACTTCTGATACTAAACTTACCTTGAACAGATTAGTGTGAGTGAAAGTTAAATTTAGTTCGTACATTACGTGATATATATATATTTTTTTTTAGGGGGATTTTAACTTCGCATACGAGTCATAACGTACTACGATAATATATTACCCTGAGAAATATTGTCTCTTAATATAACTTAATTGTCTGTATTTCGTATCTGGGATTAGCAATATTAAGTCTTTTATTATAACGAGATAGAGTTTACTACTGGTTAATAATATATAAGAGATACCTTTCCTACTCTTTAATTAACCCACACCTGTACTTAGAGAGATTATCTTGATTAATTTTCTCGTGATTAAAATTTTGTTATATTTCGAAAATTTTCATCGTTATTTTATTTATATGTATATAGGTAAATGGACATATATGACATTTATATAGATGTAAAAATCGTGTAGATGAATTTAATACACATATGTAAAGGCTAGACTGACATATAGTATTGTAAGGTAAACATGTACCTCCTTATATGGGTGAGGTAGCGGTTGTTTACCGTGTCAGAGCTTCTCACCTGTTTGTTTACCTGTGGAGCTTCCTTACTCTACAAAAGAATATTAATGATATTTTACCTTGATTTTTATTTTTTTTAGAAACTCGTATTTTTTTTAATGTCACCATGATTATTATTTCCACAAACTCTTATTTTCTAATTTGTTTTTATTTACACTTCATTTATAGCATTGTACTGTGCTTCAATAACTAAGATCTTTAAGCGAGTATTTCAACCTGATTTAGTAAACGTCTTTGAGAGGAATGAGAAAAACAATAATAATAATTTTGTATTATTATTTTTACTTGTAATCGTCTTCTCCATTACTTCCATTTTTTGGTTCATTAATTCACTTGTACACAAGCCGTAATTAATATTATTTTAATTTTTCTCTTTTACATAAAGTGGCGAGAAATTGAGGCAACAGCGGCTATACTTTAGATGCTCGCTTGACTTGTTCAATTTTTAGTTATTTTTCCTTTATTAACAATCATTATATATGATTTATATTATCTCAAACATAATATATAACTGTGAGACAAGAGATAATGTCGACCAAGTGATAATGACATTGTAGTTTTGTTCATCATTGTAATACTCTCACTACCAGGCTTCCGTTAGCGTTCGTGTGCAATTTAATTCCTCTGTTTGTTTTTTTACCTTCTATATATCTATATTATCCTTTCACTTGTCTATATCTTATTTAAAATGTACCAGGACAGTAAAGAAACATCAAAGAACGGAGTGAGGGAGAGAGAGAGAGAGAGATAATGTATAACAAGAACAGGAAGCGAGAGAGAGAAAGAGAATTACTGACAAGCTGTAATTCTGATTTCTTTGGGTGACTAATCCACAACAGGTGTTTATCCGATATACCTGTGGGTTAATTAGTTTTCATTTTATATCACGTGGTACACATACTCAGGTAAACATCATTAACAGTACACAAAATACATAATTAACTCATTATCGTATCACTTGCATAAAAGACTGTATTCCAGAGATGAAATTCTACAAAATACATTTATTTATTAATGTATTCATAAATTTATCAAGTATTTATAAATGTATTAGTTACATTTATTTTCATATTATTTGATTCATTCGTATTTATCAGTATTGGGTCTATGTCACTCTTCGTTAAGTGATAAAGTGAGAAAGGTGTGTTAGTATGGAAGAGTGTGTGTAAGGGTGTGACAGGTGTGTTACTATGAAAAAAAATAACATGTAAATACTACTTAAATATTTTTTTATATATAATTATATCAATGTATCATAATTCCTAAAATCATCATTATAATTACACTTAATTATCACCTTTGTTGTATAATTAACACGATTATTAATTTACCATCTACAATACCTGACGTGATATATAATCTTCAACACTGTATATAAACAAAACACATATTTATACCACCTTTACTGATTTGACTGATTTACCTTCTTCGCAATTAAAGTACAGTCCCCCCTTCACTAGTGTGTTTACAGGGGTTTGTCATATAAACATTCCACAAATCATTATCTTTGAGATATTTGTTTACTATTGCCAGTTTCCTACTGTCGAATGTAAACAAACACAGGGCTGCCACACTGTACAAAACCTGACGAGCCCCTGTAAACGCACAAGTGAAGGGGACTGTACTTTTTTTTTTTTTTTACAAGTACAACATAAAACAGCTCATTGCCGAATCTAAGTGCCCCATACTTTACATCTAAGCTATTAACAGAATACAATCGCATTAAATTTCCCTCATTCGACAGGAGATAAAATATTGTCCTAAAATGGGAAACAATTACAATGTACTGATTCCGGCTGCGTCAGTAAACCAGGAAAATGTTAGAAAAGAGAGGCAGGAGATAAGGACTAAAATACCGGGAAAATGACTCTACTATATATAGCGTCATTAAGTGTCGGTGTGTCAGAATGTCAATGATAATGATTCGAAACGGCTGTACTCAGATGGCCAGCGAGGGATGATAACTGTTTACTAACTTATAAATAAAGATGGTTTACCACTTTAATTTTTTTTAAGTATTTTGAGTGTGATAAGTGTGTGTTAAGTATAATAAGTGTGTGTTAGATATGTGACAAGTTTGTGTTAAGTGTGATCAGCCCGTGTCATAGGTGTGTATGGTAAGCCTGTGATTGGCGACTGAAATCTACAGTAGGTCATGATTAGCGAAGGGAACATATCACTATTACGATGACTTGGATACAACGAGAGTCACTTAGGCTACAAGAGTGAGCAGTTTCCCTTGATAATATACTCACATTGACACACCATGATATACTTTGGCCTCTAGGAACAATATTCGTTTTAATGTGACCAAATTGTCATCACACATTATTCCCAAGAAGAATAAATCCTTCAGACGTTTTATTATGTTTAAACTTTAAAGAATAAGATATAAATTAACTATATAAATTAACACTCTGAAGGAAAATGTATATAATTGACACATTAACTTGGCTATATTAAATGTAGATACACATATTTATATCATAAAAGTTGAATTTCGTTTCCATCTTGTATATACGAAAGCTCTCCTGAACCACCACCACACTCCATGCAGCAAGACTCACATAAACCTGGATTCATAAAGTGTTCCC